GCATCATGGTGTTCGCCATCGTTGGTGTTGGCGGGATTGGTAAGACCACCCTTAGCAAGAAAGTCTTTAACGACGAAGCAATACAAGGCAAGTTCACCAAGAAAATATGGTTAAGTATTACACAAGAATTCAGCGAGGTTGACTTATTGAGGACAGCCATCACTACCGCCGAAGGAAATTTGCCAGGACCTGGGGGTGGATCTCAAGACAAAACTTTGCTTGTGCCGGCTCTTGCGAGTGCTATCAAAGATAAGAAGCTATTTCTTGTGTTGGATGACATGTGGGGCACCTATGAATGGACCAACTTGCTTAGGGCTCCCATTAGCCACAGTGCCCCGGGTAGCCGAGTCCTCGTCACCACAAGACATGAAACTGTTGCCCGAGGAATGAAAGCAGTAAATCCATACCACCGCATCAACAAATTAGGGCCCAAAGATGGCTGGTCATTGCTCACGAAGCAAGTGAGTACATAACTACTGGTAGCCTCCGTCCTATCTCAAGTAATATGTTCATTTATTGACACGTAGGAGTGCAAATTTGGTACCTTTAGGGTACCCTCCAGCCCTCCTTAGTTCAACCAAATGAATTACATTTTCAAAAATGATGTGAATTCTGAAAATTTAGTTTATTTAGTTGAACCTAGGAGGGTCGGAGGGTACCCTTTAGGTTCCAATTTGCATCTCTATTAACACGGGAAGTGGCAATATTTTTTGTTGTACTCTCCGTGCTTGCTGCCTTAAGTACGTGCTTCATCTTTTTGGTGCGTCATTCTATATGACCACTGTTGTTTCATTAACATTACTACTAGTACACTAGTGCTCGTTATGAATAGACACATAGACCAAGCGTCCACACCAACTGCTTGTACGCAGTACGATCCACAACTATAAAACTGACATATACTTTTATATTGATCATCACCACATATTGTAAGCACTGCCTTTAAATGGTACTCCCTCCATCCGAAAAAACTTGTCCCAAACTTGTTTTTCAAATGAATGTATCTAGCACTAATTTGGTGCTATATACATCCATTTGAGGGACAAGCTTTTTCGGACGGAGGGAGTATGTGCGCTAATTGGTCATTCTAGACTACTGAGACACATGCATATGCTTGTTGGCTTATTGTTTATGTCTGATTCGTAGATTGTGTTGAGAGTAACTAGCTAGGTAATTAGATAATTTGTGTGTCAAATAGAAAGACATGGACATCGATCCATCCAGATGCCTTCATGAGCAAAGCATCAAACTAATTACTGTATTATTGAATGGATTATTCTACACTTACTGACAACTTAATTTATCTAGTAGACTGGACTATAGGTACTCAATTAATGTGTGTACCGTATTAATTCTCAATTGTTTGAAGGTACTCATGACCAAGAAAAGCGAACCTGCAGTGGATATGCTGAAGGATATTGGAATGCAAATTGTAGAAAAATGTGATGGGTTATCACTTGCCATAAAAGTGATGGGAGGACTCCTATGCCATAAGGAAAAAACCCGACGTGATTGGGAGAAGGTATTGAATGATGCTGTATGGTCAATATCTCAAATGCCAGAAGAGCTAAATCATGCCATATATCTTAGCTATGAGGACTTGTCCCCTTGTTTAAAGCAATGCTTTCTGCACTTCTCCCTTAAGCCTAAAAAGATGATTTTAGATGATACACAATTCATCAACATGTGGATTGGTGAAGGATTTGTTCATGGAAACTCGGATATATTGGAAGAAATAGGAACTGAGTACCATACAGAGTTGAGGTTGAGGAACCTTATAGAGTCGGATACATCATATGCCAGTCACTATGTTTGCAAGATGCATGATGTTATTCGTTCATTTGCTCAATTCATGACAAGAAATGAAGCACTAGTAGCTCATAATGGAGAAACTGTTAATAGTAAACTTCATTTGCAAAAGTTTCTCCGGTTGTCTATAGAGACTAATGGATTGGAATCGGATGAATTTGAGTGGAGAAGTTTACAAGGGCAAATATCTCTAAGATCGTTAATGTTAATTGGAAACTTCAAGGTTCAGTCTGGTGATTCCTTGGTTACCTTTTCAAGTCTGCGGACTCTACACGTAGAGTCTGCAGAGTTCGCCACAATGGTTGAATCTCTATATCATCTCAAACACTTGAGGTATTTGTCAATGGATAGATGCGCTGATATAGATTGCTTGCCAGAGAACATTCACAAAATGAAGTTCTTACAACACATTAGTCTTGAAGGTTGTGAGAATCTTGTGAAACTTCCTGATAGCATTGTGAAGTTAACGGAACTAAGATATCTTCAACTTGAAGGCACAGGTATATATAGTATTCCTAGGGGTTTCCATGCTCTAACAAATTTGAGGACACTATCTGGTTTCCAAGTACACATGGATGGTGATTGGTGTAGCTTGGAAGAGCTTGGACCTCTTTCCCAGCTTAGGGGCATTGGATTAGTGGGCCTGGGGAATGTATCTGATGCTTCATTTGTCACAAAGGTTAGGCTTGATCAAAAAGTGCATCTTTCTAGGATGCGCTTATTATCCAGCATTGCATGTAAGAATAATCAAGGAGTAATTGAGGAGGTGTTTAATGAGCTATCTCCTCCTCCGTGCATAGAAATTATTTCCGTTGAAGGATATATCGGGCGCCAGCTGCCAAGATGGATGATGTCGACAGCAACAATGCGCCTCAATAGCTTGAGGACACTAGTGATGGAAGATTTGGCTTGTTGCATCCAACTTCCTGATGGATTATGTCAGCTCCCATTGCTGGACTACCTGCAAGTCAACCGTGCTCCAGCGATCAAGTGCATTGGGCCAGAATTTGTGCGCCCCCAAAGCCACCGTTGCTATCCTTCATCCCACATGGTGACTGCATTTCCGAGGCTGCGTGAGATGGATTTATTAGAATTCGTGGAATTGGAGGAGTGGGAGTGGGAGGAGGAAGTGCAAGCTATGCCAGTCTTGGTTGAGCTTACTTTCACAAGGTGTAATTTGAAGTGTATCCCTCCCGGTCTTGCCTCACATGCAAAGGCTTTGAAAAAGTTAACCTTGTGGAGCATGTGGCGTCTCCATTCGCTAGAGAACTTTGCTTCTGTTGTTGAGCTCGACCTGTATGACTTACCCAAGCTGATTAGTATCTCCAATTTCCCTGAATTGCAAAAGCTTGAGATCAAGTCTTGCCCCGAGCTCACCTCACTAGAGGAAATGAGTGCACTACGGAGACTTGTGCTGACAGTTCCCGGCTACGGTGAAAGATTCCGACTCTCGCCCAACAAGATGGGACTCCCCTTGTACCTTCAAACTGTAAATCCAAGCCATTTGCTGGTGGATTGCGGTCTGGAGATACTTGGTTTCATGGCCGCAGGAAAATCTGGCAGCGAGTGGGACAAGTTTAGCCATATCCAGCATGTTGAGGCTTATGCAGACAGTGATTGCTGGGATGACAAGAAATGGCACGTATTGTACACAAGGGAACCTTTCAGCATTGAAACAAATGTGCAGGTAATAATTAGCATATAGACTCCGGTTTGGTTGCTCTTTCCTAATATATCTGAATTTTAATCTCTTCTTGCTGTTCGATTCCGCAGCCTGCATTTCCGCGCTTGCTTATAGGAGGAGCAAGAACTGCCCGCTGACGGAGAAGAGAAAGAGCCTGAATTTGATCCAACGGAATTGGTACCTATTCTCATGGGAAATAAATAAGCACGGTATGTTGCTACCAAGTTGGAACCAAATGCAACCTCCAGTTCTTCCTCCTCGAGTACCAGCGATTCAGTGTGCATGCGCACATTCACGGGAAACAACTGCAGTGGTTGGGCTCCATAAGCAAGATGATGCAAAGATTAATTTGCTGCCGAGAGAACAAAGGCTTCATGTATAAAAAGGCTTGCGGTTATGCTATGATTAAATTGTGTTTATAAAGATCTGATGCTATATTGAGGTCGCGAGCACGTCACTCATTGTTGTTGAAGTATGAGACTGCACTCGTCACCTGTTTACTTTCAGTTTGGATGAATAAACATTTGGCCTTTCAATTTGGTAACGACCCAACGAACTACATAGATGAGCACCTGTCAAGAACCTGCTGTTGTTCAGTTTTCACATCATGCATGACAGCAGCAGATTGTAAAATTTATACCATAAAAACTCAGAGAAAAAGGAAACAATATGGCTGTTCATGTTCAATGAAACCAAGTTGAGTTTAGGCTCCATCAACAACAACAAAACAAGGCTGCTTCTTCATATCGCTAGAAGGACACTGCTCTTGCTGTAATTCAGACATAAGAATTTCCCAGTGATTTGTTTCATCAGCTCCGTGATAACTTTTCTTTACATCAAGCAACGTCTTTTATTAACTTGTGATAAGAGTTGCATCATCAAGCAAAAATGGAGCTAATTCTGGGGGTACATCTTCAAACCATAGAGAGCTAAGCAATCCCCGCCATCCTAGCCAATACACATGTACGCTTGTTGTAAAACCAAGCAGTAAATAGGAGAAACTAGCTAGTCTTTTGCGTTAATTTATTCCTGGGTTCCCAGCTTATTGTCCAAATTTGCTTCTTCATTCATCAAAGAGCAGCACCACAACTTATGATACTTCTTATCAGCAATTCATCAGAAGTCCAGCTACATATACCATAGTAATTCATAGACAGGAAGATGCAGGGAATTACACAACATGCTTTTACCACAGAGCTCAATTTGTTAGCAACAAGCAATTCAATCAACTTGCAGAGTAGAACGCACATTGTACATATTCAGCTGAACATCAAAATTTATGTATGATACTGCATCAGCATGTGCAAGGGAAAGCGGAAGGGGGACAAGTATGAACTGATTATGGCATTTGCATTCTATAGCAGTTTAGCTTTCATCACACAAGTAGCTTTGCAACAGATAACTACCTCAACATATTGTAGCCTCAGATTCAGGTTTAAAAAATATTACAGGAGTAGCTACACTGAATCACTGATGTTCCCAAAATTTCTACTATCAGGACATATCCTTAAATCATGGCATCATAATCATCCAATGCACCATTATACTCCATGATCTTCTTCTTGATCTTTGAGGAATCCACCCAGGTGATGAAGTCCTCCATGTTCCTGGTCACAAGGAAGGCAGGATCGGTGACCGTCTCTGGGCCTACACGCACATGGCCCTGTTCAATGTAGGTGACAGCCTCTTTAAGGTGTTCAGCAAACTTGAGCTTCACCATAATTGTTGCAAGTCTCCGCCTACAATAGTTTAGCAAACAATATGGTAAGTGAAATATGACACATAGGTCATTGAGTGATTCATCTACTACCACTATAAAAGGCCGAGAGGGCGGAGAACCAAATCATCCTATCCATCGAAACCTGCAATCTGATGGTCTACATCCCTCAAGTGTACTAAACGCGTTTTATACTTTAATTACCCACCATGCCATTATCCTATAAAAGGAAAAAAAAGGCAGATCCAACTAGAATATTAACCGTCTGATTAGTAATCTAATGGTTCTAAAGCGCACCAACGAAACGCTGTTAACGAAACGATATTGCAATTAGCAATGTGCGTCCCGTCCCACATCTCCCGCTGCGCCCACTCCCCAAAGGAAACCACCCACTCCGCACGCCCCACTCATTGCTCCCACGCCCCACTTTGCCCCCTTCCCCTCCAACGACCCCGCCCGTGCCACCAGCGAACATGGCGCGCCACCGCGGCGCCGCCCTGTTTCTACGGGCGCTCCTCCTCGCCGTCATCGGCACCGTCGGGGAGATGGGCGGAGGCGCAGGAAGCATCATCCGATGAGGCCCAGCTGCCGCCGCGCCCTCTCGTCATCCAGCTGCCGACCGCGGAGGTGAAGAGGGCCGATGCCGAGGCGCCCACTACTGCGCGGCTACGGTGCGCGAGCTGGAGGATGGCGGGGAAGGCCACGAGCCCCGCACGACCGTCGCCCCGAGCGCTAATCCGGAGCCACCCACCACACACCATGGTTGCTTCACCACCGACGGCCGCCACTTCACCGGGCTGCGGCGCCCCCGACGGTCGAGCGGCACCTCCGCTGCAGGGTGGCCGGGCCGCAGCCTGCCATCCGCCCACTCCGGTCGCTCTCTGCGGCGCCCCGCCATCTCCCAATCCAACCCTGTCGTCCCCTCCTTGTCAAGCCCCTCTGGTGGTGGTGGATGGAGAGATCTCACCTAGAGATGGGATGGCCAGATCCTGAGCCGTTTGTCCACAGCCATGGCCCTCCTTCGTCCTACTGCTCCACCCTGTTTGCCCGCTTCATCGCCACCCACGCATGTTGGCCAGCAGAGTCCCCCCTTTCCACGGCCCATCTAGATGCTGCAGCCGTCGACCTACTCAATCAACCGGATGTCAGGACGCCATCCCGTCCCCTTGTGAAGGTACTTTGTCCGTTGATGGTGTGTCGATGTCAATATTCATTCCATGTCATGATTTGAATGAAATTGCGCAATTGCAGATTCCAGTGTGACTTTCGCCATTCATCTGCACAACTAGCCTGCTGTGACCCTCCGCCATGGGCACCAGCACAGCAATCACTTCCGTATGTTTTCTGCCCAGTGTTTGTTATAATGCCTACAAGAAGTGAAGCAAAAATTTGTTTCAGGTTTGTACCAATTTTTATGATAGTTTGAGATTAGGGGTAAAAGAGACTCCGTATTTTCTTGCTGGCTAATGATTGTTTCAATTTGTTATGTGTGCATTTTGTTATAGCAAAAACTGAATAGGTCTTCGTCGGCTGCTCATCGTCTCTAGCTGCCTGTCCGCTCCACACGTGCATTTGCTACAACTTAGTAATTAGACTCAGTCCCGTTCATGTTTTTGTTGGTTTGAGTGCGCCTTTTTGCAATGGAGTTTATTTTGTGATGAATCTATTTGACCACATCCTACTAGAACATAAAAAAAACTGATGAATCGATCTGGCCACAACCTTCTACGCCTATTGATTGATCTGGGTAACTTGTTTGCAATTTGCTGTGCAAATCAATCTAGCTGATTTTTAGAGTTAATCTGAATAAGTGAAATATTAACCTCACGAGGTCTCTTCACTAATTTTAGAGTTGATTTTTAGATCCAAACAGATTTAGTTCTGATAGTAATTTGTGAATGGTGTACATCCAAAGTGCTTTCGTCCATAGCAACATGCATATACAAGTGCTTGGAAGCAGGCATGTTGATTGATTTTTGGAGACTAGCATGCACGACGAAACTAGCTAGATAAGCTTTCAGCCGTAGCTCACAAATATATTCCAACAAATTTCTTCTCCGTTAAACTATTTACGTCCTATTGCAGATTTCTAATCAGCGAAACAATGAGCAAGAAGGCCATCATTTACAATCTTAACGATTCAGTAATGTTGAAGCTAATCATTGGACTTCACTGTCTTGTCAACATGTAGGGTATTGCACCAATTTTAATTTTTAAGTTAGTTGGACTGATAATTTGGTACCGCAAATAGTCACGTAATGTCTAGGTATTTCTAATTTTCTCAATGAAGCAAAGTTAGGTTCATATGTTCCGAGGAGGCACCCACTGTTAAGGAGGAGGCAGTCGAGCCGCAGACCTCCGTGGCCGCCTGGTCCCCGGATGAGAGCATTTGTTTCGTTTATGTTTCGAGATAAAATTCATTTACATCTAGAGTTCGTGCCGAAGGTGTGGCGTTGGCCTCTGTTTGGGATGTGTTGCCTGTAGGTTGTTCACATGTCTGTGCTGTTATTGTTCTTTGAGCTACTGCTGGTTCTCTTTTATTTCATGTTTGTAATTACTTCCGTTTGTATCTGTGAGAAAGAATTATCTTTGCTTTGTCATGGCAATGGTCAAGATTGACCGGTATATCTGTCACTAAACTTCTCAGATCAATTCATATTTTATTAAAAAAATGACATATTTAACAATTTTGTAGCGTAATTTCAGACTGAAGGTGAGGAACAATTCCCAAACTATGAGCAATCCACCCTTCGTTCTAATGGCAGTAATGTGTTATGAACACTGATCATGCTTATATTTGAATTGCTGTGCATGTAGGGACACATTTGATTACTGAAGAATATGGTTTCAGCAATCATAGCATTGTGTTTCCTTTTCATTTTTAGTATGATCTGTCTTTGATTGCCTTTTCTTTCTCTTAAGCAAGGATAATGATTCATATCTGACTGCGCATTGAAAGTTCTAGCATGTATGTAATGTAATCTACTGGTAGAGATATCGAGACTAAGAGTCAAGCCATTCTATTTAAAACTTTCAAAATCGCTATGAACTCTGATCAGTGATTATAGTCCAGCCAGGTAATGCAATGCAACATCTAATTACTGAATATGCAGTACGCAATCAAAGTATTGTGCCTCGCAGCCTTTGCATATAATGAAGAACGTGCATTATGCAATCAAAACAAACATTGTGTCTCAGTTGAGGAGGTGCTCGACGTTTAAAGACGTGTCACTTGGTAAGGTTATATGATCTTTCACTGTCGATAGTCATGTCAAGGTAGACCATTCGGGTTTTAGGCAAGCCAAATAAACATAGATCCCATTAGATTGTTCTCCATTCATGTCAATCTATTTATTATTTTATCATTTTAGGTAATATTTCTCATCTCCTTTTAATGTGATTATTTTTATTTATTTTCTTGATTTCTTTGGATGTTATGAGCCAACTTCAATAGTTTTGTTAGGCTAATATAAAGTAGGGAGCTTTGCTACATAATAATACAAAGAGGTTACTCAAGGATGTTGAAAAAGATGCATGACACAGTTGTATCTTATGAGACAATATAAAAGATTTTGCCTTGATATTTCTATTTGCAGTTTCAAATATTGGATAATCTTCATAATACATATCTTAAGTCAAACCAAGTGGTTGTAGAACACCAATCGGAAAACATTATGGCATTACGGGTTTCCATTCTTCGATACGAATTATTCTTTTGTTTGTTTATGAAACAGATACTGGCAATTCCAGTATTCCTCTTGTTCTCTTCAATGATATGAGAAGATCTGAAATTGTTTTCTAGCTGCCTTTTTGCTGCTTATTTTGAGCAATTGATGATATCCCCTGCTACTTCTTCCAGTATTCACCGTCTGGAATCCAAGGGTCAGAACATTCATCTTGACCTTCAGGTGTAGTATGCTTCCAGCGGCATTTTTTTAGTTTATGAATAGTGGTACACGATTTTTCAAGGGGTTGTAGAGCATTACTTTTTGTCCTTAACTTCTATATACCATGCCATTACTTATTTAGTTTCTCTTTCCTAACGGAAACACCGATCATGATGCTTCAGGTATGATACATTGTGCTTCTATCATAACTATAGAACTTCAGGTGACTGATTTTCCAAGTGGTTGTGGAGCTTCAGGTACGATATACTGTGCTTCTATCATGATGCTTGATACTAAATTTTGTTTCATGTCTGCAGACATATCTGAGATGCTGATAAATCAGTCACAATTTTTGAAGACCGGTAATGTTGATATGGACAGCAAAGCTTAATGTTGTATTTTGCCCTGACTCTACCTTCTACCATACACCACCGAACTTTTTGCCTCCAGTGCAATGAATTATACACACCGTACACGCTTGAGAATTGTAATGCCCTTTCTGCTACATATACAATATTACACCATAGGCAGACCGAGATGTTTTAGTCTCTTTCCGCTTGTTTTGAAGAGTTGCTACCATAAAACTGTTATATTGTTGATAGGAAAATCAATTTAAACAAACTTTGACATCCCACTCCTAACTACACATTTTAAATTACTAGACTCTACGAGTAAAGAAAATGTCAGCAGAGAGGGTATGGCTGTGGAGCCGAGCGGAAATTTTCTTGAGCCTGAGACATTGTGATGGGGAGTTTGTAGTTAAGAACAATTCTTTTGTGTAATTCTTAGCCATTAGATCTGGGAATTATGGATGGAAAAGATTGGCTGTGTGAAAAAGAGCCGAGTTTTGTATATTGTGTCAAACGTGAGTCATGCATGTGGTCAGTTCGGATAAGACATGGTTTAAGTCATTTTTATATCTTGCGGTATTACACTAACAAATTATTATATTTTTTCATGCAAGTATATCAAAACACATCAACTAATGTTTCATATAATTTTTAATGATTGCTCCAGTTATGATTCCTCTTTGATATTAGTTGGATGCCTTCCATGTGAAAATGTACTAATGCATCCAAAAGAGATAATAACGACGCATTTGGTCCACGGTCAGGTAACGTAATGGGCTTCGGTTTCGGGAAGCGCTGCTTCCAATCTCGTTTTACCAGATAGGAGCTTTGTTTGGTTCATGCGGTTGGGCCTGGTTTCCTAATCACCTGGCGTTCGGCTGTTTTCGACTTATCAGAAAACGTGGTTAGTGAATAGTACGTAGTAGGCGAAACAAACGTTGTCCATCATTTCCGAAAGCGGGAGTATCAGGAACCGTGCGAAACTAATTGACCAAACGTGTCGCTGAGACGTGCATTTGCACGTGCAAGCTTACTAGTAGCAATAAACGCTTTCTTTCAAAAATTAAATGGCAAATAAAATGCCCTATTCAGCGATCGAAGGAAATCATTATTATAACCCGGGGAGAGATAGAGACCTGGCGAAGGCGCTCACTGAAAGTTTCTCACATTTAACCAAGCTCTTCTTTGTTGGAATTACACCCATATTATACCTGAAATTCAAGAAAACTTCTTTAGACTAGACAAATGAGCAGGGCAGTAAAAGTAGCAAGGAACAAGTGGAAGTGGCAAGCAAGAACTGCATGATTTAGCCAAAAGGAAATAGCTTTAGATGATTCTAGTAAGATGGCTCACTCAACCGACACGATATGCACAGGGTATCCCTGTAGCTTTCATAACGGCATGTTTACTGGAGTGCATGCTCAGAGATAAGCAGATGATTATAATGAGAAGCCGATAATCTCAGAGAGGTTTATGCATTCTGGGCAAATAATCAAGTGGTACTAACATATGTCGAAAGTACAATTAATTTACCCAAATGATAAGTGCCACACATCAGGTGCGCGGCACTCTTGCCCTGACGTTTTTCGAAGGCAATTCCAGTCACGCAGTCACGCAAGGATGACAATTTCCAGTGACACACGGCAAGTTTCTGTCAAAAATAAACTGAAGCACAAAAGTTGTCAAGCTTGGCAACTAAAGTTGCCATCCTTGCGTCACTAAACTTGCCGTCGAAAATGTTCGGAGTTGCCATGTGCTCATACATGACGTTCGGTACTTATCAGGGTCCTTAATTTATAGACAAGAGCACACATCAAAAGCCTCACACATTTCTAACTATATAACAATCCAAGTGGCAATTGCAGATAAGCCTGGAGCATTCTCACAGGGTTGCGGCGCATGATGGATATACAGTCCTCGTAATATGCAGTCAAAATTTCAAACAAACAAACGCATACAGCATCACACATGCATCGAGGGTCTGCGGCATCTTACAGCTTATCGATCAGCATGTCCGTCATCTCTATTCTGAAAGGGTCCCTGGGATCCATCTGCTTTATGATGTTCACGAGCTTCTGCGCCATCAAGCAAATCCCGTTGTACCTGCAGCGACACCACAACCACAAGACTGATTAGTTACAGGGCACCGCCCGGCAGACGCTGTGATTTCTTGAATCAAAACGCTCAGCGCATCCCAGCCGCGAGATCGAACTGGGTCCGACGGGCAGGAGGAGAGGGAGGAGGGTGGGAGGGGATTGACTGGGTGAGAGAGAGTGTACTTCTTGTAGTCGTCCCTGTCGACGAGGCTGTAGCGCTGCGTGACGGCGGCCTCGCGGTGGCCGCCCTCCCGCTTCCACAGGAGGAAATTGGTCTTCTTCAGCAGCTTCTTCTCGTGGAACTTGAGCTTCCTCATCCTGCCTCACGCTGTGGCTGCGAGCAAGGGGTTGGTGTCGAGGGCGGAGATGGCGGCGGCGGTGCGCGATTCCGGGAGGAGCGCGTGAGGCGGCGGGCGGGCTGGCGCGAGACCGGCGGGGGCCAGGGAGATGAGTGGAGGTGGGCGGCTAGGGTTCCTGGGCACATGAGGCCATGAGTGGGCTTGTAGGTATCGTTTGGGCTCAAACGGTGAAATGCTAGCGGGCCAAGCCAGATGGTGTGCACTCTTCTCTCTTCAAAAAAAAAAACCGATGGTGTGCACTCTTCTCTCTTAAGAAAAGTATGGTGTGATTCTCGAAAAATAAAGTCTGGTGTGCACTATTCTCTCTTACAAAAAAAAAGGATGGTGTGCACTCTAGATTTTCTCTCAATTTTTTCAAATGCTTTAAAAAACAAATTTAAAAATCTCCGGTCGGGTGAGAAAGACCAAGAGAATGTATTTGATGTCGCGAACCGTTCCTATCGCTAGGTGATTAAGGTTTTGCTCCTCCCATTGACTTCTACGGCGTCGAGTTTGGGACACTTTATCGGCTAATGCCCACCGCTCATATCGGGCGCTGATTCCTTTTCACAACATTGTTAGTCTTTGTGGGTATACGCATGGTTATGAAACCATGGTCTTCTTTCATGACATTCCTTGCCCATTTGCCACGAAACATTGCTTCTTGGT